TACATTTCGGTGCATATATTTAGGTGCACACATTTCTGTACATACATTTCGATACAAACATTTAGGTACCTTAATTCAATATAATACATTTCGGTGCATATATAATCAGTACATACATTTATGACACATCCCGACCCGGATTGTCCACTAAGACTTCAAATCGAGTTGTGTTGGCCAACACCTGGAAGGTGACGAAACCATAAAGTATAGTGATGTGGAATAAGTGAATAAATTTAAACCTAAAAGTGCCTAAATACGAGAGTGCGCTATGAGCGGAAATGAACTCATTTCACATGTGACATCAGAGCATAAGTAAAGTACAGTAGAGTGGATTGAAAATCATACCATCGAAGGTAATCTCCAATACCAAGATTTGCCACGAATCCTCGTCAATACGAAAACTTTGCTACTGGAACATGGAGGGATAAAAAAACAAGAGTGAGTGGGCCTGAAAATAACGCTTTAATAAAGACCTTCTAAACATTATAATCCCTCGCTATAATACCTATATAGTTTCCAGGAAATCATACTACGTATAAATATGAAATCAAATGTAAATCAACAGTAAATCCAGGAATATTCCAAATCACTACATATCGGCAACAGTATATAAAAAAAATCAGGTGCTCATCAATCTGTGATAACACATGAGTCGGAGTTGCCTAACGCAACCTGTACGACTCATAAATCAATCTATGATAACACATGAGTCGGAGTTGTCTAATGCAACCTATACGATAGTGTCAGAGTTGCCTAGTATTACAACATGTACGACAGTGTCGGAGTTGCCTAGTCTATTATTGCAACCTGTATAATAGTGTCGGAGTTGTCTATTATTGCAACCTATACGACAATGTCGGAGTTGCCTAATATTGCAACCTGTACGACAATATTAGAGTTGTCTATTATTATAACCTGTACGACAATGTCGAAGTTGCCTAATATTACAACCTGTACGACAATGTCGAAGTTGTCTATTATTGCAACCTGTACGTTAGTGTCGGAGTTTCCAATTATTGCAACCTATACGACAGTGTTGGAGTTGCATATCGTAACCTGTACGACAGTGTCGGAGTTGCATAAAACATAAATATAGTCAAGCCATAACTCAATCATTTCAAATAACACCATAAACTCACCTGAACTTACCTGCGCATCCCGCGTTCACCTTAGCACTTCCAAGCATTCACAACAATTATATGCAGGTAATATGCATATGGATATGCCATGATGCAATCTAAAACTCAACCATATCATAGTATTTTAAAATATATATTAACATGGCATAAAAGGCATAAATCAATTTAAAAGCATTTGTGGAGCTATCAATCATATATATACTATAAAAAGAAAAAGATCCACTCACCTGAGGTCCGCGCCACGACTCCCTAGCACGAATATCGAGACGTCGCGAACGATCATCACCTAGAATAAATATTCAATCACGTCTCAGAACTCTTATCAATAAAACACGTAACTTACATAAAACACATCCTAAGGACGTTCTAGAATGATTTGAGACCCATTGACCAAAAGTCAACCGTCGGTCAAAGATCAACGGTAGGGTCCACAACCTAATGTAACTCGATCCAGAAGATCCATACATCATATTTCCGATCTGTAACTTCCAAAGATACACATTAGGCTTCTAGAACAACATTCTAAAGTTTCGGAACGATCCAACGATCAGATCTCCGCCAATTGCTAAAATTAAGTGGCAGCCAATGTTTTATTTTACGAACTTACAAATCTGATTCGGAAAGATCCATACGTCGGATTCCCAATCCGTAACTTCCTGTGGTCCACTATAAGATACTAAAGTTTGGTGACGATCTAACGATCATATCGTCAATTCATGCAAGGACCTCGTGACAGCCAACTAGGTGGTCAACTACGAAACTACATTAAAATATCATAATTTCACTTAACAGATGTCAAATATAGAATTAGAGCATCCAAATTAGCCAAAGATGGTCAGGTGGGGTCTCGGCCCACACACGGCCACACGCAATGGTTGGCTGCCAAGGTTTGCCGGAAAAATTTCACTATTACTAAAAATTCTCAAATTTCATAGAAATGAAGATCTCAAAGAGAGGAACAACTTTCATACTGGCCACGAAGTCCAAAAGTGGACGAAAAATAGTCAATGTTGCCACAAAGCCAGCGGGTGTGCCTAAAGCTTCCCGGTGTCGATTCGTTGTCTACGGTGGTCCAACGGGGTCAAGGTTGGTCGGGATTTTCTCCTAGGATGATGGGCTACAAAACCCAAGTGGTGGCATCAGCCATCGCTTTGCCGATTCGCCGAAAAATTGAAAAGAGTGGCGGGAGCACTATTGATTTTCGTCAACTTTTGTGGCCTTAAACCGCCATATACCATGGTTAATCAATGTGGTTCTTTGATTTTGTAGAGGGGAATGAGAGCTTCAAGATGGTGGTGGTGGCATCGAAAAACTCCACCGGAGTTGGCCGTAATCGGCCTTGGAAAATGGGAGGACGAACTGGGTTGTGTGGTATGCACGGGTTGAAAGGGAAGGGGATGAGGTTCTTCTCTCTCCTTCCTGATTGGCTGGTCCCTCTCTTTAATTTCTGATTGGTCCTTCTTCTAACATATCTAATTGGTCACTTAAACAAAATAGTTGATTGGTCCCCTTATTCTTGCTTAAAATCTGATTGGTTTCTTTCCCACAAGGTGGGAGTTCAATTTATTTATAGCTAAACTTTAAATAACCAATTTCAAACGTAATTATACCGTTATAATCCGGACTCGCAAACGATTTTCGTCTGTACGTTCGTGGCAATGATTACTACGCAAATACTCCAAAAGAATGACTCATAAGTCTCTCTAAACAATGGCCAACGGTAGTCAAAATCCTTGTCTCTAGGGCATTTTCGTCAATTCACGCTTTTAAAATTTATAAAACGTAAAATTAGGGACGAGTTATCACATTTAGGTACATTAATTTATATAATATATTTCGGTGCATATATTTCGGTACATACATTTCAGTACTAACATTTAAATACATTAGTTTAATATAATACATTTCGGTACTAACATTTAGGTATATTAATTGAGTCTTTCAAGTTTAAGAATGTTAAATAAAATTAATAAATTAAAAAAAAAAACTCATTTTTGGTCAACAAATAAATTAAAATTTTGTATGGTAATAAATTTAAATATTTAATGGGAGACATTAAATAAAATGCACATTAATTAGTTTGAATTAATGACACATTAAGGAATTATAATCAATATGTAATCTAATACCAGATTTATTTTAAATTTCAATTTTCTTGAAGGATTAAAATTAAAAAACCCCTTTTAATAATCATAATGTCCGAAGTGTTATTGGTAATTATTTTGAAAGTGCTTGAGAGTAGGAATAATTAAGGGGTCCAGTGTTTCATGTAAAGAGGACTCATGTTGAAGTGACGACTAGATTTGTTACATGCAACTATCTCTATTACTCTGGAGATAATCAAGTATAAGGCTTGGACTTGATCATGAGTTAAAAAGAGATAAAAGGGACCAGTTGGCCATGAGGAGTTGAAGATAATTTCAAGTATATTATGATAATATTCCAAGGAGTTGGAAGGCCATCACACTCTATAGTACGACTTAGACTTAAATATCAAGCAATTTATTCCTATTGTGAGACTGTGAAAGTAAAAGAGTTTCACATTGGTGAGGGAGAAACCTTGCAATGGTTTATAAGAGGTGAGGCTACTTCCTATATTGCCAATTGGGTTTATGGTGGAGCCTTAACCTTCATCATGGTATCAGAGCAGGTTAGCCTACGTGTGAAGCTCAATAGCCACATGTGCTCCACGTCATCCAATTCGAGTTGTCCACGTGTTTGACTTGAAAATTCAACGCACGTGAGGGGGCGTGTGAGAATGTGATGGTAAAAGAGTCCCACGTTGGTGAAAGGAGAAACCTTGCAAGAACTTATAAGAGGTTGGGCTACTCCCTATATTGCCAACTGGTTTTATAGTGGAACCTCAACGTTCTTCACCTACAAATACAAGATTGTGGGCAACAAGAAAATGACTTTCAACTCAAAACACGAATTAACGCTCTACGTGAAACCCTTTCGCATCTTTTAGATGAGTTTTTCAGAAACATCCAATGAAGGGACCGACTGGATCGACGGGGCTGGAGTTGTAGAGTCAGTTTGGCTTAGGAGTCTCAACCGACTGGATAGGCGGATATTATCATTGATTCTGTGGCTGACTATTTATCCTAAGTCTTAATCGGTAGAAAGTTTTTGATTCTTTAGCCGAAAGAGGTCATTTTGGGTGTTCTATGACTGGTTACTCCCAAGTTCGGCATACAAATAGCCGAAACACTTTTAAAATTAGGATGCTCATCTCCTTTGAGTATCTTTGTCCTTATAGTTTGATGTTGATTCCGTGGACCTACATTTTCACCAATATAGTTAAGGCTGCCGAACCCTGTGCACATGATCTAGAACATCACAATGATTTAAATAACCTTGTCTTTAGGTTTTCGAACCCAAGACCGAGAATGTTCATTCCTCGGCCACAATCGCTCGATTCAGAAGTTAACTGCGCATTCCATCACCTCACCACATTCAAGTTATTCGCCTAGCTAAGCTAGTTGACGAATTGATACGCCCACATCAGCATTTAAGCCATCGAAAAACATAGTTAACTCAATTACTAAAATTGCATGCCACGTAAGCTTTATAATTTTTAAGAAACTGATGTATATTCACACACATGCTAGCATTTTGATAAGTTTCCAGGAAACTGGTAATTTTCAACCATCCAAGCCAACTTTCTACAGCTACCAAGCTCATTTATATATGGTCCATATTCAAAACAATAAGATAAACCAATGGCCATGCATGCATATGCGACCACCTTCAATAATGTCCCCATTAACTAATTTACAAAATAACCCTCAAATTTCACTCTATCCCCACCACCACCCACCCTCCTCTTTGTCCTCTCTATATATACCCCTAACCATGAGCCATCCTTCTTCACCCTCCATTCCCAATTAACCAAGCCAAAAAGAAGAAGAAGAAAATGGGTTCCCTCCCTCACATAGTAGAAGATTGCTTGGGCGTCCTCCAAGTCTTTAGCGACGGTTCGATCAACCGTTGCTCTTTAACGGACATAAACTTCAACATTCCGGTCATTGATGACGGCTCCGTGGGCTTCAAAGACATCACTTTCGACAAAACACACAGACTTTCCCTTCGTTTATACAAACCCAAATCGACAAACCAAGATTCCAAGCTCCCCGTGGTGTTCTACTTCCACGGTGGCGGCTTCTGTGTTGGCTCACACGTGTGGCCAAACTGCCACAATTGCTGCATCCGCCTGTCGTCGGGGCTCCAGGCCCTTGTGGTATCTCCCGACTATAGGCTCGCTCCAGAGCACAAGCTTCCGGCCGCGATTGACGATGCAGTGAGTGCAGTGGAGTGGCTGCAAAGGGAGGCTTCGGGAGAGAGCACGAATAACTGTGATGCATGGATTCGTGGTACAGCTGACTTCGACCGGGTTTTTGTATTGGGTGACTCTTCAGGTGGGAATATGGCTCACCACCTGGCGGTTCGGTTCGCGACGGGGTCGATCAAGCCGGCTCCGATTAGGGTACGCGGGTTTGTGCTGCTGGCGCCATTTTTTGGTGGGGCGGAAAGGACAAAGTCAGAGGAAGGTCCTTGTGAGGTATTGTTGAGTTTGGAAATACTTGACAGGTATTCCTTCAAAACTTTTCGAGTCTTGTCCTTTTGCTAGTTTTCACATTTAGTGCTCTCCTATCTTTTTCTCTTCTTCATGAGGAAAATGATCTCTTATCTTACAACTTGGTATATGACAATCTCCACATTCAATCTGGATCATATATTTAAGGAACATAATATAACATATATTGTGAGATTTCATATCGTCCATTTATGTATTAATTAATATTCTCTTGTGTGATAATTTCACATTTTTGTCGTCTATTTTGAATTGTATATTCAATCTAAACCTCTCTATCAATAGTTTAGATTCACATAATGTTTTAAATTGTTATTTCAATCAATAGGGAGTGTGCAAATTTGCACTTTAAAATTTTTTTTTCAACATTGTAGAAGTAAGCATGAGATAAGTCAGCCATAATGTTCTACGTCTGCACCTTGATACAAAAAACAAGTCACAATTAATAAGTGCATACAAATATAATTACTTAATTCGGATAATGTGCTTCTTCCGATGTGTACAAGTATTTTTGCTTGATAAAAGTTACACAAACCCTAATTAAGTCAACTCCATGCATGAGACGAAGTTCCATAAACTAATTAATTCCCTTGGTGTCAACTATTTTGTTTTTGTTCTCAAATGGGCTGTTAGCTAGGTGTCCACTTGTTTGTAGAAAAACCCAAAACTTGTATACCCCATTTCTCTTTTAAGAGAAGTTTTTATCTGTACCAGAAGCTTGCGTCTCTTTTACAGAAAGATGAAAAATTATACGTTGCAATTGGCCACCTTGTGAATTTGTAAGAAGGCATTTCTACCTATTCATGAGGATCCATAAAGCAACAAATCATTTTGGTACAACGAAATGGGAATCTCATAGAGTAAATTTTGACTACAATCAAAAGCATCCAAATTAAGGTTTATGAGGGCATTCAATCAAATTTGACTAGGGACATATATGCATTGTGAGATGTTTTGTCAATCATTTAAATGTCATATCCATCTTGACCATAAAAGATGTCGGCACATGTGAATTGCATCGTAATTATTTGTCCTTTCATAAGACAAAGACTATATACTTTTATGGTCTAAAATTAGAGTACATATAAATTATAGGTGATGACTACTAGCTAGAAGACACCTAGGGGAGAAGATGCCCTCCAAATCCCTCTAAAGTTGTTGATGTGAAACTCATTTCTTGTTTACGTGTGCCATGACTTGACCTTGAATGAGTCATCATTTGGTATTGGAGGTGTCCTTATCCAAATAATATCTCAAAGTAATAATTTAAGCTTAATTAGCTTGTGTTTTACGGATTTGGATCCCAATGGGATCCAAATTGTGGGAACCTAAGGATCCTCACATCTTAGCAATTCATTGTGCATCGTGTGGTCATAAATTATTTGATTTTTTATATTTAAAATTAAACACAAATAGTACCTGATGAAAACTGACCGCATGATGTATGATGAATGGAATGGTTAGGATGTGGGGATCCTAAGGATCCCCACAAAGTGGATCAGGAGAGGATCCTCTTCCGTGTTTTACCAACATGGGCAATCCAAAAAATAATAACTATAATCAAAATGATCATAACTTGATTAGATTTAAACACATCAAGTTTAGCATATGAAGAATATCAGTTGGTATTTTTTTAAATAAAAAAAATTCGGAGTTAGAATCTCTTACATTCATGGGAAGAGAAACAAAAATAAATAGTTAAATGGTGATCACTTAGATAGCTTAAAAAAAAAATTGATATAAAGAGTGAGAGCTATTATTACCAAAAAAAAAAGTAGTCATGATGCACTCATCTATAGTAAGAAAACTAAGAAGAGCGTGATGATTATTTCAGTGTTTATAACAATTAACGAAAAGAATTTCTAAAATTTTTGTTTCTTAACAGAAAAAGAAGAGAGATTCAAACTTAGTACTTTTTTCAACATCAGAAAAACAAATACTGTGGTTTTGACAATTATTGAAGATACTTTGATTTGATTTGTGTGGTATAAACATATGGAACATTGCTACTTACCATGCACGAATAATGATCAAACTTTGAGTTTCTTTTCAAACGTGTAAGATAGTGCTTAATCCAATATAAGCATGACCAACTAACCCGAAATGACTATGATATAAAGCTAGATAACCTTGATATCAGGATAACAAGCAAGTCTAATTATCGTGTAAGTAGTGCTTAATCCAATGTGAGTATGACCTTTGCACACCAAAAATGATTAAGATAGTGCCATATCCATTATCTTTTTTTTTAAATCAAGCAATATTCCTTGTCATATTCCCTTAACCAATGCATTACTGATGGTTCTAATATTGTACACGTATTTGACTCTGGATCCGAAATAAATTTACAAGAGAACATTTTTGTGATCATTTATCTTTTTTGATTAACATTATTCCTTCTCGTATTATTCCCACGTAAAAGATTTGATATGCATCATATTAGGATCCCTGTTCGATTTATATGAAATTAATTTGATATCTATGTTAACTGTTATAATTCATGCAGGTTTTGGAGGCTTTCGATGCCAGTAGGAGAAACCAGAGACCATCCAATGGTCAACCCATTTGGACCAAACAGTCCAAACCTTGAGAAGGTGGCCCTTGATCCCATCTTGGTTATCGTGGGTGGCAATGAACTGTTGAAAGATAGGGTGGAGAGCTACTGGAGAAAGTTAAAAGATTTGGGAAAGAAAATTGAGTATGTCGAATTTGAAGGAGAGCAACATGGTTTTTTAACTAATGATCCATACTCAGAAGTCTCAAATGAAGCTTTGCAAATTATTAAAAGATTTATGACCGAAAACTCCAACTGATTAAGGCACCATCTGTATGCATGCATGTGATATTGTTGGAAGTGTTTCCAGCTCTTTAATTTATTCTGAAGTGTTTGAGCTTGTATGTTTGTATGCAAGAATTTGTAGGTGTAGCTAGCAACTTGCTTTTTCTGAATATGAGCAAGCAATAAGTATTAATATTTATCATGAAAAGTTGTATGTATGTATGTATTTATGTTTTATGTTGTATGTTATGGGAGTAAATAATGAGTAATAATTCCCTGTAGAGACTGGTACGATTCAATTCAACACTTTGTTCGTTAGGGTTTGATTGTGTCGTAGCTCTATGATTGGGATTAGGTTTATCGTTGGATGAACTGCATTGCTAATATTGACCCTAAAAAGGAAACGGTAGGTATAGCTAGTCCGTGAACAACTAACCATCACACTGCTTAAAATTATCATGCTTGGTCCACATAGAAAAAAAACCTAAACGGTTTAAGCCTAGGATCAGGAATTTTGTCAGAAACAAGGCTAATAACTAGAGGGCAATGGTCTTTCTTTCAGAACCTTAGCCAAGTAATCACCATCTCTGGCTGACTCTCTTTTAATTGGTGATGTTAGCAAAACAGCCTTAGTAGAAACTGCTACAAGGTACAAAAGTTACTTGAGGGACTAAGAGGAGCCAACAGACCACAAAGCAAGCAAGAAGGAGAGTCTAGAAAAGGCGAGGCAAGGGGCTCTTCTAGGACGATTGTGTCCATGATCTAGTAATCTAAGCCTTGCTTCTTCTGGTCGGCCCGTATTAGCCTGTGCTTTATTACAGGTAGTCATTCCTCCTGTTTCTTTAGTCTTTTCAATGGTACCTGAATCTTAAGTCGCGGCATGTCTTGCTGTAAGGGAGTTTTTTTTTATTGTCAATCTAGTGTTAAGGTAATCCATTAAGGAAACAGGGGTAGTATTATAAAGGGCTAATCAAATTTTTTTTCCTCATTTTTTGCATGAGTTTGTTAACGTAAGTTACTAGGGAGAGGATAAATCGTTTCCTTCTTTCACTATTAGTTGATCTAAAGGCTTTATGATTTGTTAACTATTTGCTTCAAAAAGATAGCGTTAAGAAAATTAGGGCATACATTATGGATACCTTCCTAAAGTCTGGTTCCCTTAAACTATCACAAAGGATCGTATAGCCAACCGTTGTGACCGGCTTCGTGAGACTATTCGGTCTACACATGGCTAAGCTCTATGGCCCTTCTTCACTCACTCCCAAAACTAGGCTTCTATACGATGATTGAAAGAGCCATTCTTGTCTTGTAAGTTGAGGAAGAAGGGTGTTATCATCTTACAAGTCTTATCATTTTAAATTATAATTTTCTTTCAGAAATTCGACAGTAGGAGAGCTTTATTCATGGTTTGAAAATTACACGACTTAGTATTATGATCTAATAGTATTATTCTCTACTTTCTTCCCGAATTTAAATAGTATTATTCTCTATTTTGTAAGTGTTAGCATTAGGTTTGACTCTGTAAATTGCAAGTTAAATACCAAATTATTATGACTGAACTATTGTGTAGCTTAGCCTAAAGTTATCACCTTTTAATATAAATATATCATTATATAAAATAATAAAAAGACAAATGGGAGATATAAGGCCTGACCCCAACTATATAATCTTTAACTATAATAGTGTACTGAATATTATTTGAAAGGCATCTCAAACAATTAAAATTAAAGAAAGTTGAGGTTGCACCATAAAATCAATTAACAATATGAAAAATAACTCAACTTATATAAGGTCTCTTGTCTCATCAATGTGAGATTCAATGTCAACACAAATAAATCAGCACATGTTAAAACAAACCGAGCTAACGCTTTCATTTTAAATATTTCATGACTGTATATAAATGTGATAAAATTGGTTTTCAAATAAAAGAAATTTATTCTTAAGTTACAGTCAACAAGATTTATACGTAAGTTAACCCAAACATTATACGATTGCATATGTTAAGTTAGTGTTACATGATCAAGATTAATATTTGACATGGATACAAGCTATCATGGTCCCTTAATTGGTTCAATATTTCCCTTGTTGTAGTCCCTTTACAAAGAAAACGAAATCAAGACGGACTACTTATCCCTTTGATTAAACAATAATAAACGTCCCTGTCCATAACTTTTAGACCAAACTCACTCAAATCAAACCTTTCGTATGAGATTTTGGTATACTCATCTAATATTTTGCTTTTATGCTAAATTATGAAATTGTTCATTGTCTGGTTATGAGGATCCTTCTGAGAAGATTCAGTGGGTCCATAATTATCAATCCATGCCATGCCTTGGATTAGGGCTTGTATATTATATTGATCAACTACAAATTGAGCCTTATCTTATTGACCAGAGAAAAAATATATAACTATCCACATTCCCATTTCCCCCCTATTTTTAAAGATTAACGTCTCGCATGCAACGCGATTTCCTTTTGGTTTACACATTGCTGGTTGCTTTGACAAGACGTTCGGAAATGCTTCTTTACAAAGTACTATGTAAAGTACTTTACTAATCGAATTTTATTATGGGTTTAGTACTTTACTAATCGAATTTATTAATATAAAAATACTTTTCACTTTTATGTTAATCATAGTCACAAGTATTTCGGAATTAGGTCGGTTTTATCCTTAAAGTATGAAATATTTTATTCTCGATTTGGCATGTCCAGTGCCATTTTTCTGTAGTGAGATTAATGCGGTGCACGAGGCATCCTAACCACTATAACATTCTATGGATTGGGTTACTTGGGAGGCTCTTGACCTAAGTGGCAAAGCATAGATGGGTTGCTAGAGAAAGACGACAAAGGTATCTCCAACTATTTCAACAAAAAAATTGATTGACGCTAGGACTCATGGATCGTCCGCTTTTGATAGCAAGATAAAGTTAAAGCATTCAATTCAAAATTAATCGTCGGTAAATATTAGACTTAATATTTTAACGTGTCCGCTTTCGACAACAAGATAAATTTAAAATACCCAATTCAAAACCAATCGTCAACAAATATTAGACACACTATTTCAGCGTGTATAAAAAAAGACTTCAATGAAAAATGTGATGCAAAATAACTGAACTGTTAATTGACGATGGTAACTCCTTGCCAAATGAAACAAATCCTATAATACTCATAGGGTAGCAGGCAGAAGAAAAGCCACTTTAGGTTGAGGTTGCATACTTGGATAGGGTAGTAGAAGGGCGAACTTTATATAAGGTAACGTTAATTATAATGGGATAGTGCAGGCCAAAATTTGATAGTCATCAAAACCAAAAAAACATTAATCAAAGAGATTATATAAGATATATTGTAATATAAAACAGAACATGATTCATTTGATTTCCAACCACCGAAGAAAATGCCTTATCAAGACTAAACCCATAATAAAATTATTTTCATGTAGTTAAGAGTATTTATTCATATAGTTGATGTTCTGTGTTGACCAGAGAAAATTATATAACTATCCACATTCTCATTTCCCCCCTATTTTTAAAGATTAATGTGTCTCGCATGCAACGCGATTTCCTTTTGGTTCATACACTGCTCGTTGCTTTGAAAAGACGTTTGGAAATGCTTCTTTACAAACCCTTCTTACCTTTTTGTGAAATTGACTTACTAACAGTCAGTATAAATTGTGATTGAATAGATGGGTTTAGGTTGGCAATCGACCGATGACAACCCACTAGATAGACAATTTTTCAGAAGCAATCAGTGAAGGCAACCGACTGGATCGACAGGGTTAGAGCTGGAGAGTCAGTTTGCCTTAGAAGTCTCAATTGACTAAATAGTTAGGGATTATCTTTGATTTTGTGGTTGACTATTTATCCTATGTCTCAGTCGGCGAAAAGTCTTTGATTCTTTAGCTAAAAAGGTCACTTCATTAGCCTTCTTGGCGAAGTTCGGTGTTCTATGATTGGTTACTCTCAGGTTATATTCAGAGTTCGGCACATACACAGCCGAACCACTTTTATGATTACAACACTCATCTCCTTTAGGTAGCTTTATCCACACAGTTTGACACCGATTCGGCATACCTATATTTTCACCAATATAGTTGAGGTTGTCAAACCTAGTTTACAAGAACCAAAACTTCACAATGATTTAAATAACTTTGCCTCTACAGGTGCTCGATTCAGAAGTTAACAGCACATTCCATCACATCACCACATTCAAGTTATTCGCCTATCCAAGCTCGACAGCGAATTGGTACGCCCACATCAACATTTAAGCCACCTCCTAATTACTTGACTTGCATGCTATGTAAGCTTTGTAATTTTTAAGATTAACAAATATATATTCCATGCATGCTAGCAATCTGATAAATTTCCATGCAACTGGTAATTTTCAACCATCCAAAGCCAACTTTCTTCAGCTACCCAAGGTCATCTATTATGGTCCATATTCAAAACAATAAGATAAACCAGTGGCTATGTATGCCTATGCGACCACCTTCAATAATGTCCCCATTAACTACGATTTATAAAAGGGGTTTTTGAACTTTAATCCTTTAAGAAGATTAAAATTAAAAAAAAACCAGGTGTGACATCCCACATCGCCCAGGGGAGTGATCCTTAAATGTATATTCTCATCCCTACCTAGCACGAGGCCTTTTGGGAGCTCACTGGCTTCGGGTTCCATAGGAACTCCGAAGTTAAGCGAGTAGCGCGCGAGAGCATTCCCAGATGGGTGACCCATCGGGAAGTTCTCGTGTGAGTTCCCAGAAACAAAACCGTGAGGCGTGGTCGGGGCCCAAAGCGGACAATATCGTGCTACAGTGGTGGAGCGGGCCCGGGAAGTGGTGCGCCTCAGGCCGGGATGTGACAATTTGGTATCAGAGCCTAACCCTGGTCGCGAGTGTGCCGACGAGGACGTCGGGCCCCTAAGGGGGGTGGATTGTGACATCCCACATCGCCCAGGGGAATGATCCTTAAATGTATATTCTCATCCCTACCTAGCACGAGGCCTTTTGGGAGCTCACTGGCTTCGGATTCCATAGGAACTCTGAAGTTAAGCGAGTAGCGCGCGAGAGCATTCCCAGGATGGGTGACCCATCGGGAAGTTCTCATATGAGTTCCCAGAAACAAAATCGTGAGGGCGTGGTCGGGGCCCAAAGCGGACAATATCGTGCTACGGTGGTGGAGCGGGCTCGGGAAGTGGTGCGCCCTGGGCCGGGATGTGACACCTGGTGTTAGATTGAATATTGATTTTAGTCCCTAATGTGTCCTTAATTCAAAATAATCAATGTGCATTTTATTTAATGTCTCCCATTAAATATTTAAATTTATTAATACACAAATTTTAATTTATTTTTTGACCAAAAAAGAGTTTTTTAATTTATTAATTTTATTTAACATCCTTCAAAC